AGAATCTTCAAACAGATTTGTCAAATTCCAGAAATCTAGGATCAAAAATTTGAAAAAACGGCCGTTGCAAAATTATACGACATAGCAGAAATTTCGACAATTTTTTTGCTTCACTAAAATTTTTCCAAACTACTCCACAGTCGTAATAGCACTGTATTGTAGGTGAGCAGGCCACGGATTCGCCTTGAGGCGCCTTCACCCTGAGGAGCCTATCTGACATGTTATCTACCAATTTTTGTATGCCTAATCCCAGATACGTGCGTAATTTTCAAGTAGCTTCTTCTGCAATAGATGCATGGAGCTGTGCCAATTCCACCAGGAACAAACAACACGGGTAAGAGTGTCCCATGGGTTTTCCATCGGATTTAGACTTCGCTAACAGGCGGACCATCCCATTGAATCTACATGGTAGGTTTCAAAGCAAGTTGAAGTCGGCTCAGTAACATGTATAACCGCATTGTAGTGTTGAGAAACATGCCGATGATGACGATTCTGCGTAGTAGACGGTAGCACGCGATGATTGAGCCACTTATTGCTAGTCGGTGGGGTCCCTTCCGTTGAACCATGAAGACCACATCTAGCTTGCCATACCAACTGTAGGTTGTGCAGCGTTACCAAGCTCATCTTCGAGAGGGAAAAAACGGAATTTCCGCTCAAATCATCTTTGCACTATGCCACCTATCTGGCCGACTAGGAGAAATACTTCCTTTCTCCGAAGAACTACCTGCAAAACCTAAGAACAAATAAGTCGTTTGGCATCTCGCCCAAGTGCAATCTGTACGAAAAGTCAACAGATTTACCGATCACGATGATGTGCTCTGACAACACGGGCTACCGTCTACTACGCAGAATCGTCATCATCGGCATGTTTCTCAACACTACAATGCGGTTATACATGTTACTGAGCCGACTTCAACTTGCTTTGAAACCTACCATGTAGATTCAATGGGATGGTCCGCCTGTTAGCGAAGTCTAAATCCGATGGAAAACCCATGGGACACTCTTACCCGTGTTGTTTGTTCCTGGTGGAATTGGCACAGCTCCATGCATCTATTGCAGAAGAAGCTACTTAAAAATTACGCACGTATCTGGGATTAGGCATACAAAAATTGGTAGATAACATGTCAGATAGGCTCCTCAGGGTGAAGGCGCTCAAGGCGAATCCGTGGCCTGCTCACCTACAATACAGTGCTATTACGACTGTGGAGTAGTTTGGAAAAATTTTAGTGAAGCAAAAAAATTGTCGAAATTTCTGCTATGTCGTATAATTTTGCAACGGCCGTTTTTTCAAATTTTTGATCCTAGATTTCTGGAATTTGACAAATCTGTTTGAAGATTCTCATTTGTAGGTTTCTTTACACGCTGAATCGAATGGCATTAGCCATTTTCGTGCAGAGTTTCTCGCAACTTCAGAAACTCAAAATTTGGGGTATGTCGTATAGTTTTGCAACGGAGTGTATACTCTCCGCTATGGTATTTTTCGATGGTGCAAGAGTTTTGCAAGATGGGGTCGTATGAATCATTTGTGAGGGTAGGGGGGGTGCGCGGGAAAACTTTTTCTCACCCGATAACAGCAAGACGATAGGACCGGGCCCTGGGGCGGGGTGCCGACCAAATGGTGGAAGGAATCCGCGGGAATTCCGTTGCATTCTTTGTTTCCGAGGAGAAGATGATTGTGGATTTCCTGCAATGAATGTGTATAGTGTGATGCGATGAGACATCGCTAAAAATTTCATGCCGAGAAGAGTAAGTTTCCGAAAGGAAACTACACGGAGAAAACGCCTTAGTATAGGCGCGCCAAAATAGGACTGACGTGGCTGTCAAAGGATACGGCGCGAGGGTAAAGGGGGCCCCGGGCCACCATCGAACAGGGGTCCAACAAGCTTTGCCTGGGGAAGATCTTCTAAAGAATCGTTTGTTTTTAATGACGCGGGACGGTGTGTGTGCTTATCGATAATGAATACAAAATACAGGGGATCAAATTCTAACTTGAGGTTGTCGAAGGCTTGGTGCTTAAATGAATTAAATCCAAGAGATTGTTCTTACATATAGGAACGACCTCCGCACAATTAAAGGTCTTCGGTTATGAGTAATACGAGGCGTAACTTTGGACTGTGGGCAGCTTTCTCAGATCTGTCTAGCGCGATTTTACTTTTCAGTCACGTCATAGAAGAGGAGCGGTCTTCTTGTTGGGTCGACATCTGAAAATTGAAGGAGAGAACCACCGAATACAGTGGATATGCAGTGAGAGCGCAGAAGACAGATTGGAAGTTCTGTGGCGATAGCGGAGCATGGTGGTGGAGTGGGGGCCGCTTCACAATATTGCAACGCCTGCTTCGACACGAAGTGAGCTCGGACTTGTACAAAATAAAGCAGAAGATCTCATGATGCGTGTTTATGAAAGTGAAGATTACAGGATGGTCTGGATACTCATAACTCGCCAAGTAGCTGTACTTGAGGTGTATTTTGTCGTAGAGCTTGTTAGTACGCTAGAAAGTCATCTCTCAACGGCATTTTCGAAAAGAGCAATACCAGTTATTATTTTTAAATGTAATAAGATGAAACAGCCTGTGGATATCAAGCAGCATGCGAAGGAACCAGAAAATGGGGGAGACACCCGAGGGACACAGGCGACGAGAGAGTAAGCTAGAGCGGGGGGATTTCAAGAACGCAGAGGGAGAGAGGAGGTGCACCTAGAAATAGCGCTTCGCGGAAAACGAGACTCATAGAGGGAGGCAGACGGAAATCGACCATATGCTCGTAAGAACACTGCCTCTCAGAACTGTTAAAGACATCAAGGTACTTCCTGGTGAAGAGCTGGCTCCCCAGCACAGGCCCCTCCTGGCAGACATTGCATAGACCTCCCCAAGAAGACAAGGGTAAGAACCGAGAGGAGAATCCGGTGGTGGAAGCTGCACCAAGCGGAGAAGGTGACCTCAGGCGAAAGATAATGGAAGTCGGTCTCCCAGATCCTAACGGGCCAGTACAGCGGACTTGGGGCAACGCGGCTGAGACCATCCTGCGATGTGCCAAGGAGGTACTGGGCGAGACGCGAGGTGGATTCAGAGGAGACAAGGCAGCGTGGTTCTGGAACGAGGAGGTCCAGCGAGTCGTGAAGCGGAGCGTGAAGGAGCGAAGCCAGCTGAAGTCAGGAGGAGGTGGGAAGAGTACTACAAGCGCACTTCTGAACGAGGAGTTCCCCCACAAAGACAGCTCGCAAGCAGAGGCGACGGCTGGCCCCATCTCACTATGGACAGAGGATGAGGTTCGTCAAGAACTAAGGAAGATGAAGGTTGGAAAGGCGGTGGGTCCAGATGGGTGCCAATTGAGGCATGGAAGGCGCTCGGAGGGTACGGGATAATGGCTCACCCGATTCCTCAACACGTAACTGCGGAAGGAAGGATGCCAGATGCCTGGAGAACAAGCACTATCGTCCCCATCTTCAAGCAGAAGGGTGACGCGATGGACTGCTCCAACTACCGCGGGATCAAGTTGACTGCTCATACAATGAAGCTGTACGAGCGACTTAAAGCTGCGGGAGCTGGTCCCGATCTCCCAGGAGCAGTTCGGGTTCATGCCCGAAAGGTCAACAGCCGTCATCTTCATCGCAAGGATGACGAAGTATCGAGAAAAGCGCCGACCCTGCCCCTAGACTTCCTCGGCCTTTGAAAAGCTACCGCGACAGCTACTTCGACAGTCTACTTCGAGCAGAACTATGGAGAGAGCTCAGGGAACGGAACGCGCCATAACACCTGATCTTCTGTGAAGGATATACGATGAGCTAAGATGGGGTGCTATACACATCCAACATGCGCCATTAAGAAAAGAGCGATAAATGTTCAAAAAAAGTGCACAAGGATTCAGCTCCGAGCCCTTCTTCATACTCATGACACTAGATACCATAGTAGAGGTGCTCATGAAGGACCCTTTAAGACCATTCTCCTCCCTGACGACATCGTCCCGATGATGGATAGCAGAATTAATTTCAATCTGCAAGAGTGGGAGAAGTTGGCAGTTCTTGGAGTCCCCGTAGGCGGAAAAAGTTTCGCATTGCGAAGAGCGGAAAATCGCCTTCTGTCATATCGAACCACACACGAAGGCGCTTCCACTGATGGCACGCGTTTTCGGTTTTCCTTCGCCTAGAGCAAGTATTCCATCATCACCTGTCAGAATTTGCCAATAGCCTTCGCTGTTTACTAACGGCTTGCAATAATCAACGTGGCTCAGTTTGCAACAACTGCTTATCTCCTGTCTACTCGACCCTCTGGGAGTGATGCGAGCGAGTTATCGCGCGGTGAAAAGCAGAGGCAATCTTGTCGAATTTTCGTGCCGGTGAGACGCAGGGGTTCATGGTTTAGATCATTCTGAATGGTCGTGTCACAGACCCCCGCCAAAATGACTGCGTTCGAATGGTGCGCTTCTCTCAACACAATACTTCCGTTCTGCACGACAAGTCGGCCAGCACGGCCTCTGGCCGCTCTACCGAGCGTAAGATTTGCACTACTCATATCCTGAAGCCGGATGCCAGACTTTACGCGCGAAATGCAATTCGGCAAGCACCGCGGTCGGTCGCGGCCCGCCGCAATTTCGCTAACGATCAAGTCCTGTCATCGGCCCAACATTGGGTGACAGGCGTCTAAGTACGCTCAAGAGTGCGCGTAAAATGCGCCGCCCCCTCCACAGTGGGAAACTGCTGGGACATCGATAAAAGAAGTTAACAACATTGCCAATATGTGGGTTGAAATACTTTTCGAACGCGCTAACAAGAAAAATGGAAGCATTCCATTAGAGGGTGGGGTCGTTAAGGCATTGACGCGACTTTTTTGCTTTGTTCGCAGCGGGAACCCTGGTCACCCGGATAAGGATGGGTGGTCCCCGCATCAAAATGTTCGCGATAAGCGGAAAAGCAGCTTTCTGTCTCAGAAACCCGCAATTCTTAGAAAGGCATAGCTTATACTCAACATTATGTACTTTAGCGCATATCGATGACGTGCCTGCGCTTACCTTCTTCTGTGATCGAAAGCGACATCGAAGAGTAACTGACAATCTCCATGGGACCACAACTGCAGCAAAGTGGAGTTCGCCGTGCAGAGGAAAATTCCAAGGGGTGACGCAGCCAAACACGAAATCTAGGTGGTTGCCAATATTGGCTTTGAATTTTGAGTGAGATCCTAGATTTTCTTTACCTTGTCAAAAAATGGTGTACCACCTCCTGCACTTGAACATGCCACGTAAGTTGTTGATACCGTTGTGAGAGTACTGAAAGATAGGGCCGCAATATAAGGCAAAATTCGGAACACTATATGTTACCTCGCATCCACTCGAATTAGCCTACAGGCTGTTGCTATGCAGATTTCGCCTCCATCCGAAAGCACGTCTACCAATGGAGCCGGTCCAAGTGGAATGTGTAGCAGTTCTAAGCACGTCGGGGACCACTCTGTTATATTCTGAAAAAAACTAATTTTGATCCCACTAATTTACGAAACATAAAAATTGAACGAATACGTGTTTATTTTCTAAGTGGTGGTGAAAGTAGCAAAACACGCGCCTTTAGCTGCGCCTTTGATTCAGTTACTTAAGTAAGATGGGCATAACATTAAAGACGCAATTCGCGGTAAAGAAGCATCCCACCAGAAGCCAAGATGGAGATATTTAGTGGTAGAGGATAAAGAAAAAATAATGGAAACGGTTAATCACACAAGAAATGGTACCCCCTCCTTGCCTGTTGATTTCCGCATGGATGCGGCTCTCACCGGTGCTGCTCTCCAACCTTAACGCTCTCTGCGAATTGAAAGGAGCTAGAGGACGAGGGGTGCTGGGCGTTGCGTGCGCTGGAGCGCGCGGCGTGATAGTTCTTGCTACGCCAAGTCGAAGGATACTCTCCGCCTGCAAAATACGCATTGCCCCGCTCCCTATGCCGACCCGTATCTTCGACTAGTACATTTCCCGTTCTTCGACCTTACGCGGATATCCTATTTTTTTGATGTATAAAGTTAGTTAAACCCTGGCAACTAGTAACATGAGGAGACGCTAGGAGGAATGGAGAATGAAGGTAGGAGAATGAAGTAAGAAAAAGCATGGGTCGTGGACGATATGATAGGAGGAGTCCATGCGGCAGAAGTTGCCGCAGAAGTGTCGTAATTAGAGGGCGAACGCGAGTCTGCCCCTCCTGTTTCCCCGTGAAAGCGATCCGCGAACGTCTTGTTGGCATCAAGCCAGCATTTCGGAAATCTCGTGAGAACATCCCCTCCATCTTAGGGTGTAATGCTGCTGGAAGATTGGAAAAGAGTTGATTCAGGGTGTGTGGCGGTTTCTTTTGATTTTTTCTTCACTTTTAGCCGTTTTGCACTACAAGCGCAATTACCGAGTCCTCTTGTTACACCAAATTGATTATGGGGGTGCCATTAAAGCCAGTAGAGCGAATCTTGGAAAGGGAAGCCACTGGCCACTATCAAAGCACTACTGGTTCGGAAAGATTGGAGAAAACCCAAGCAAAATTGGAAGGTTTGTTTAGTAGCCAGTGTAGATTTCTAGTTCTCGAAGAAAATCAGCAGAAATGGGAAAAGGTCCGGCCAGAGCAGGTCTTCATGATAGACAACTGTAGAGACATTCTGGAAGTTTTCATAGAGCGAGATGCCCGATTTTTCCTCATTTTCAGAATACTTCATTATCACACTCAAATGCATGGTATCTTTACCGCCGCACATCATTCGAAATCCCACACTTTGTATAGACTTTTCAAGCGCCGACAGACATTAGTAATCTTCTTTTCGGCGTGCATTGAATCAAAAAACTATCAGCGATCTTCATATTTAGTTGTCCGGGAATTTTTACGGTTACACCTGGGTTTGTTGAAACGAATTCTTAATCCTGCTCTGAGATGCGCCATGCACTTGAATTTTCTAAAGCATTGCAGTGGCCTCAGTTTACTCTTCTTTGCTGTGATTGGAAGCCAGTCGGCCTCGTAAGAGTTCCACTGTGATGTCAGCCCAAACCCACGCTATGCAGCTATAACAGTTTCAGAGCCCCTTTCCAAAAAACTTGGATTATAGCGGTCGACAATGAAATTGTGGATGCTGAACTGAACGAAAAAAACAAAGCAATTTGCCGATGAAGACCTCAACAAGTACTCCATCTCTTCCTTCTCGAAATACCGTTGAAATTTTTGAGTTCTCTTGCTCCATGGCTCCACCAAGCCGCTCGAATTTCAGCTAGTCATCAAGCCGTGACCCACGACGGAACGGCCTGCGTGTCATGGCGTGTACGCGAGGTCACTCGTCCATTAGCTCACATTAGCCGTCATTAGCTCACTTTGTGAGGCCCTAGCGCCATTGTCGCACCTTTCGAGCCGCGACAACGGCACATTTGTGATACTCGCGGGCTACTCTATCCTATACCCTACCCAGAGAAAAATTGTTCCGCACGATCTATCTGGGGTTGCATTTAGTTGAAATGTTCGTCCTTCTCCTTGCTGTAAATTTTCGAATAAAGCGTTCCACGAAAAAGAATGTAAGGGGTGTACGGCTACATTTCACGTCCTCTCACATAACCAGGTTTAAACCTCTTACCGAAAACCCATCAATCAAGGTCGGTGATTTGTTCCGCTGGTCACTGCGCTTAACTTTACAGAAACCTTACAGCAATTACGGCGAATACCTCCCGGATTCTAGATTTACCAGCGGTTCGCCTTGCAGGAGGAAATAATAGTTGAATACATGACGTCTAGGAGCCTATTATCAGAAGAAACACTAAACCTAGTCTTGCTTTTACACTGCCGCCGACATGTCCACTGACGTTGGTACTGCTGGTCCATCTCCGAGGAGTTGTACGACAGCCCCGTATGCACCCACCCTATTCCGAAATGGTGCAGAAGGCAATCGCAGAGCTGAAGGACAGGTCCGGATCGTCGAAGGCTGCCATCCTCCGGTATCTCGTGCAGAATTACCAGCTTGGAGACAACGTCAGCAAGATTAATACTAATATTCGTATGGCGCTCAAAAAGGGTGTCGAGAAGGGAGAGCTGAAACAAGTCACTGGTACTGGAGCTACAGGGAGCTTCAAACTTGGAGAGAAAAAGGCCGCAGCGCCGAAATTAAGAAGACTGTTGCGAAGAGGGCGGATAAGGAAGCGAACCTTGCACCGATAAAGAAGAAGGCCTGTTGCGCCGAAGGAGAAGAAAGATGTAGCACCGAAGGAGAAGAAGGCTGTCGCGCCGAGGTGAAGAAAGCAAAGGCACCAGCGGTCCCCAAGGAGAAAGCTCCGAAAAAGGCCTCTGCTCCAAAGTCTAGCAAAAGGAAAGCGCTCCTGCTGCTACCAAGAAGTCGAAATCGAGAAGCGTCAAGAGCACTAAGAAAACCCCATCCGCGAAGTCTAATTAGATTTTATTGGTTGATGTTCTGATTGGCACTGATGTAAAGATAGTAGATAATAAATATGTATCTTTGTGAAAAAGAACCTCTAATACTGTGAGCGTTCCATTTGCAAGAGCAGCGAACAGCCTTCCATCAGCACAGTGCAGTCGAAGTGGGGCATCTGGTAACTTCAGTTCCCATAGTATATACC